GGTCAAGGTAAAGGCTTATCAATTTTAATGAAAGAGTTGATTTGGGTTTTGTTAATTCTATGTTTTATATTCTATTTCTATTTCTGAATTTTTTCCTAGTTCCCTTTCTAGTACTGAACAAATCCTCATGCATTTCCTGATTTATCCATTATAATAACGGGTTAATTTACTGATACTAATCATTGCATTTCCTGATGTGTGGTTTAATATCCATATATTCATATACTAGTGAATTTTCCAGTTTTTGATATTGATTTCTAGTTTAATTCAGATGTGTTCAGAAAAGAGACTCTGTATGACTTACGTTTTTAAAAATTATATAGATTTGTTTTATGGTGTAATTTAGTTGTATACAGTGCAGACTGTTCTATAGCTATGAATAAAAATGTATCTTTCATTTAGGTGGGGAATTGAGACTTCTCTTTCATAAATTCTTCAGTGGCTTTCTTTTTTTTTTCCTTTTGTCTTTTGGGTCACACCCAGTGGTGTTCAAGGATTACTTCTGGCTTTGGATTGGCTACATGCTAGGCAAGCACCCCTACCCACTGTACTATCTCTTCGGCTCCATTTAATACTTTTTCTTTGATATTTTATTACTTCCAGATTCATTCTGTAAAATATACATACTTCTTTATTTATATATTTGGCTCAAATTTTCAAAATGTCCTTTAAATATTAAGTGTGCATTTCTTCTAAAACACAATCTTTGTAGTTCTGATGTACATAAGTGCCCATGCACGTGTTTTTATTTGTTACATTCACATTGCTGGGAAATATCTAAAGTTAAAAATTAAACATATTCTGGTGGAGTTCATGCTCAATTCAATCAGCCTAATCAGTGGCTGAAGTAACAGCAGTACTCCTACATTTAAAAAAATAAAATAAAAATAAACATATTCTTATTTTTTACTATTGTTTCTTTAATAAGTTTAATAAGTGGGAGCTACCCATTGCTCTATATTATATTTTAATCCCTCCACACTTTAATTCATTTATAGCACACAAAATGTGCCATGTTCATCAAAATGTGCTATGCTCATTGTGCATAGAAACTCTGGCAAAAGAGTGAGGGATTCATATAAACTTATAATTATTATTAAATGTGATATATGTGATAGTATGGAATATATAAAACACCACAGAAGAAGAATGAAAGGAGAGACCTTTTTGTACTGTTTAGCGAATTAATAAGAAGTTAACAATGTACCGTATTATTATTTGTACTTTTTAAAATAATTATCTATTAACTCAATTTGCAAGTTATCTAGGAATTATCTGTGAAATCCTAGTATAAGATCTAAACTTAATTGTTATATATAGCTTCAATTCATTATTCCCTAAGGCTAAGGTTTTAAAGTATCATACACTATAACTTCTTTATGATTTTCTCTTTTAAACACTTTAGTTATGGTTTATAAAAATATCATCTAGTTAGTCATTAACACATAAAGATTAGCTATTGACTGTATTTAGTATATACAAAATTTTTAAATGGTATGCAAATTGTCATTCTTTAGTAAAACAGAATAAATTATAAGTACATACATTAGAGCAAAGGAAGTTTATCTAATATTATAATAAATATGCTAGAAATCTTTTAAATAAATCTGATCTTCCACAAATATTGTAATTTAAATTTTGTCTCTGAAATTTAAAATAAACTATTTATGTGTGCAAAGCTATTAAAAGCAAAATTGCTATTTTTTATTTGTTTCCATTTTCCTTCTCTCTCTTCCATAATTCTATCACAAAATCCGTTTAGTTATTTCTAAACTCTCCCATTAAATACAATCTTAAAAAGTTCTATTATCTTACATAACCTGGTATTTTTTAAGTTATATTATGTTTATCATAAGTGACTGACTCTAAGCAAACTATTCTTATAATATTGTAATTATAAAAGATTCATTTTAAAGTCTAAGGCATTTTTGGTGTTTTTGTTACAACAGTTAAAAAGACATTTGCAAAGAGGAAAAACAGGGCTGGAGCAATAGTACGGGGGTAGGGTGCTTGTCTTGCAAGCAATCAACTGGATTAGATACTGTGCACCACATTTGGTCCCCCAAGCACTGCCAGGTGTGATCAAAGAGTGCAGAGCCAGGTGTGAGTTCTAAGCACTGCCAGGTATGGCCCCAAACAACATACAAATGTCACCAAAAAAATACCAACAAAAGAGAAAAATATTATCAATGTCCATTTTAAGTTTTTCCTTTTCTATGCTGAATAAGCAAATTATTTTTTTCTGTGGGCCAACTCAACTTCATTGTCTGCATACTCACTGTTAATTGTTATCAAAAATCTTTCTTCCTTCTCTATCTCTTTTCCTAATCAGATCCTCTTCCTTAAAAGATAAATAAAGATAAACATAATACAGTTCAAGAAACTTTTAAGCATTCACTGGGAAAAGGTTTTACTTCAAGAGCTTGAAATACCCCAAATTTAGAGTATCCCCAAATTAAAAGTATCAGTCTTCTCTTTAAAATGGGGGGATTGTAAATACTTAATAATCACAAAAAATAGAGGAGCTATAGTATGCCACAAAATAGCACAAATGACTCAAAAATAATCCCGTTGTTTAAATTTCTGTGAAAATATTAACTAGTATGTAATAGTAATAATGACTGACGTAGTTCCTCAGTCTCCTTATTTTCTCTCCTCTACAACATGTGTTCTATCTTTAGCCCTTCCCCTTTTACATTTCTTCTTTTCCTTTTAGACACTACTATCTCGTGGTTTTCTTCCAAGTTCTGTGAGCATTACAGATAGTTTATTTTGATCATGTAAATTAAGCATTTTGAGTGTATGTACAGATTCTTCTATTTATTCACTTGTCTAATTTATCTAGGAGAAAAGTTGCAGTCCTATAAATTATACTATCTACTAACCAGTGATTATCTTTTTTTTTTCTTTTTTGGTCATACCCGGCGATGCTCAGCGGTTACACCTGGCTCTGCACTCAGGAATCACTCCAGGTGGTGCTCAAGGGACCATATGGGATGCTGGGAATCGAACCCAGGTCAGCCGTGTGCAAGGCAAACACACTACCTGCTGTGCTATCACTCCAGCCCTGCCATTGATTATCTTATGAATAGTAAATAGTTCCTACTATTAATCAATACTCTAAATTTCTACTATACTATATGTTCAATATATATATTAGTCTACTAGATACAAATTGACATAACAAGAAACATGAAAATGTATACATATGATAAACTAAATACATTTTTCTCTTTAAATCTTTGCCTTTACATAAAACAACATTCTCTACTAAAAGTGCCTAAGTAAGTACATGTACATAATAATCTAAATTATACTTTTCTATGTTAACCAAGTCCATTGGATTTTGTCCACAATCATCTGTAGAAGTTACCCATTTTCCACAATTCCTACAATCATATTTTGGCCAGGGCTAAAAATTTTTTATCAGGAATTCTACTGTAGCCTCCTAAGCTTTTTCGCTGCCTCAGGCACATTAATCTTCTAATTCAGCTTTCTCAAATATACATCATTCTATACTATACATAAGATCACATGAATAAGACTTACAAATTCTTCAAAGGTATAAATAGAATGTTATTAATAAAATAACGCATCTTTTTTGCTTTTTGGGGGGGAGTCACACCTGGCGATGCTCAGGGGTTACTCCTGGCTCTGTACTCAGAAATTACTACTGAAAGTGCTCAGGGGACCATATGGGATGACGAGGATCAAACCCAGGTCAGCTGCGTGCAACGCAAATGCCCTACCCACTGTGCTATCACTCCAGCCCCCAAAAAGCGCATCTTAAATATCATGCATTGATCTCAGGGTTTTGCACAGATCTATGGCCTCAGAGCTCTGCAACTCTTGCTGTAAGATAAAGACACACTGTAAGAACATGAACAACAAAGTCCATCCCATCTGCATCAAACTACATTCATAGCCATATCTTTTCTGATATTGAGTACATAGTGTTCTTTCTTCTTTCAATGTCACTTAACAGTATTTTATATCTGGCTAAGACTCTGTCTCTATGTCCTCTGGAAACTCTTACTCATCCTTCAAGATTCAGCACAAATATTATCTCAGCTAACTAACTGGTTCTTTCAGGAAAGATTCATGCTGCTATCTCCTGTAACAACTCATAAAAGCCTCTTTGATAATCTCTTGCATTGCCACCAGTTAATTTTTGGAGCTACACCTTGGAGTATTCAAGGTCTTCTCCTGGCCTATGCTCAAGAAACACTCATGACAGGGCTCAAGGGATCACATGGAGTGCAGGGGTAGAACCCAGATCAGGTACACGGAAGACAAGCACCATACTCCCTGTATTACTGATCCAGTCCCAGCTGCTGTTTGCTTTTATTTATTTGACTACCTTCATTACACAGAGCTAGATACATGTAGAGACTATATTGTGTCTTCTTTTGCATCCCTGACAAAGTGGATAAACAATGAAACCCGCTTAAGTTTAAATGAATCTTCTCTTAAATGCATCTGCTTTATCACTAAATGTGATTCCCCTGTATAGTAGAAGTCAAGAAAATTAACTCTGCTACCATACTAAGGCTAGCAATGAGGGTTCTCTGTATTTTTGCTCTGTGTCTGTGACTCTCACTCACATAAAGTGCTGTTTCTTCATTTAAAAACAAATATGAAAATAGAAAGCTTAGAAATATGGTACCTTAATACTTTGAGGTTTCTAAAAATGTTTTGTTTTACCCTAGAGACAAAGCTTGAAACGCAAAACAATTTACATATAGAAGACAGAATGTATTCTAAATGATGAAAGTGATGATTAAGGGCCCAACTCACAGACAGTTTTTATGGCTCTGGCCATATAAGCCTCAATCAACATCTGTGACTCTATTTCTTTTTTAACCAGTTAAACCAACTCTCCCTGTTGGTCACCACAAATTACTGATAAGAGAACCTAGAGAGATAATGGAGATAACACTTTTGAAAGTCCATTATTCAACGTAATTCACTGAGCATCACAAGCCTAGTTATGAACTCACCAAACACAGTCCTTGCCGGCACAGATTCTCGGTTAAGCCAGAATGACACTTGGGAGAGAATGACAGTCATGATGCAAGGCAGATATGTCTGAATCACAAAATATCCAATTTTCCTTTTCAAGTGGAAATGAGCTGTCATTACAGTATATTCACCTGCAAGAAAAAATTTAAGAAGCTTAAGGAACTGTAATAGCCAATAGCTTCAACATTTTAGAAATGAAAGAGATTAGAGAAAGAACAGTCCCTGATTTAAAATAAAAGGACTGATCACCTGTATGACAAGAGAAATATGTAACCTTTAAATGCCTCCAGAGCATAACAAGAAGATTTAAAAGAAAACTTTAATAGAACCAACAGTTGCATTATATGTCCTATGGCAAGTTTTTCATTGCTTTCCCTAGATCATACTTATCGACAGGTGGAGGGGTGGGCAGAATTAATAAATCATCTCTGATCGTAGATTATTTAAATTATCTTTTTTTGTTTTAATACCATCCTATCTAGCTCCTGAGAAGCCAACCTAACCCTCCTGCAAAGTATGTGCTCCAGTCTTATTAGCTATTTCTTTAGTCCTGCTATTTCACATTCATTTCTTAAAAAATAATAAGGATCTATGAGTTACAAAATTATTAATGGTTAAATTTCAAGTCAAGACTATTAACTTCCCTATGTTTCCTATGTTCCTTTCTGTTAAACTCAGTATGTCACCTTGGTATACACATATAGATTTCAAAGTTCGGCGACTGTAGTTTGAATCTCCTGTTTTCAGTGTTGTTGAGTTTGTGATTTGGGTATACAGCTATATCACTGTGCTATAATAATTACCATTATTTCCCTTTCTTAACTTTCTTCCCACCTCAGTTTCTTTCCTCTTCTGTTCTCTCAGGGGTCAAGGATGATCTGAGCATATTCCCTTTTTAAAAGTTTTTAGGCTATACTTGGCAATGATCAAGGATTACTCTTGGGTTCTACACTCAGGAATCACTCCCGGTGGTGCTCTGGGGGCCATATGGGATGCTGAAGATAAAACCCAGGTCAGCCATGAACAAGTCAAATGCCCTACCTGCTGCACTATCTCTTTGGCCCATAGCCATCCTCCTAAAACATTGCATTCTGTATTCTTGATTCATCTTTCCAGTTTATGTTCTGTGTTAGGTTTTCCATTTTTAACACTGGTGAAATTAACAATCATGAAATTCTCCCCATTTTATGTCTCCTCTACATCTACTTTAGTAAGTTCTATCTGATTCTTAGAGATTCTGTTAGGTAATCCTTATAGTTTCTGTCCTTTCTACAGTTTCCAGGTTTTAATTATAGGCTGATGGAAAATTAAACCACATACCTTCTTTATTCTTAGATAAAATGACCTTAGAGAAAGCAATGGCTTTCCCAAACTGGCCAATAGTAATTATCCATAAATTAAAATGTTTATACAACTATAAATTATTCAAGATAGGAAGAAAAGGATTAGAAAACTAGTGAAATCATAACACTGAGGTTAATACTGGCTTGACTCTTAAACACATTTTAATATGTAGTATAGTTTGCACTAGTTTCTCAGACTTTAGCACAACATAGAATTGCCTTGGAATCTTTTTAATATATGATTCTGGACCAGAAAGATATTACAGGGAGCTAAAACTCTTGCTTTCTTATAGCCAACGGCTTGATCCCAGATACTACAAATGGCCCCCTTAGCTCTGCCAGAAATATAATTTCTGAGCACAGAGGCAGAAATAAATTTCCAAAATCAAAATAAGAATCAAAATAAATAAATAAAATACAAATCCTGACTTAGTAAATGGTCAGTACTGAGAATCCAAATATCTCCAAAATGTTCCTAAGCACAGTTATTACTTCTCACTCTTAAGCTTCAGGAACTAAACATTTTAAGTAAACTTATGCATTTCACTGACTTTAACCTATTACCTCTTTTCCCCTTATTTTAGGAATTATCTATTCCTTAGGCTCACTTGACTAACCTGTACTAGATTTTATTGTTTCCTTCCCAACTGACTGGCCCAACAGATCATACTGATTGAGGCGAGAGCCATCAGGAGCCACTTGTACTGAATCCGTTGCATTGTAAGTCCAAATGTAGGTGACCTCTGAAGTTGTATATGCATCTGTAGAAAATAAGAATAAAAGAAAATTAAGAACCCCCAATAAAGTGGAACATTAGCATTATGTACTTCATAAGACAGATGTACTATAAAAATTTATATTTGTAGATCACATTTTTTTCCTTTTTGGGTCACACCCAGCGATACTCAGGGATTTCTTCTGGCTCTGCACTAAGGAATCAATCCTGGCCATGCTCAGGCGACCATATGGGATGGTGAGAATTGAACCCAGGTTGGCCACGTTCAAGGCAAACGCCCCACCCGCTGTACTATCGCTCCAGCCCCTGTAGATTACGTTTTTAAGTTATACAGTGATGTTGAAATTAATGGCTTCAATATAGTTAATGTAAAATAAACAAGGAGAAACAATAATAGCCACGAGAATATTTTCTTTGCAACCACTTTCAGAAGTCAAACATTTTCTTTTAAAGACTGCAAAATGCTCTAGGTTCTGAGGTGGCTAAAAGAATCTTACCATAGTTCTATGGCATTAGATTAAGATCCTGTGTTAAACAGATTATTAATATCCAAGGTGCATTTAATCAGTGTTTTTAGAAATATCAGTCAAGAAATCATAATCATAATCCAAAATGATGTAGATTTCTGGACATAAAAAGGAGCTTAATTAAGAATTAAATGAAAACTTTCATGATACAATGCATTTCATTGGAAGACAATAAGTTGATTACTCTCGGAGAGCCCAGTATGCTACCGAGAGTATCTCGCCCGCACTGAAGAACATGTTAAATAAATGAGAATGCTATGGTTTCATCAAAGTTCATGTAAGACATGTTCAATTTAAAATTAATTAATGTATCAAAACTCCCTGGATTTATCTTTAATAGCCCTCCAGCCAAGCAGTGGATTATGAGGAAGATACAGAACTCAAAATACTGGAGGTGGAACTCCCTAGCTTACTTGGCCAGGGAGGCCGAATTTACATAAGAAAAGCGACCACTGCTGGAAGACATACAGCATATATTGTCATAGCCATTTTCTCATTTTCTCCTCTCTCCCTTTTTATTTGTGACTTGAATGTTGAATGTCCTATAGGAAACAGACCTCTCACTGTAGTCAAAGACCTTCCAATGTTGAATAGATGATTCTTACTACACAACTGATCTTTTGAAAAATGTCTGCACACTTCTGCCCCCAGGAAATCTTAAAAATATTATTTTCTCCTTATCCTTGAGCAGAACTAAAAACCACAGTGACATTCTTAATGGAAGGAAAGGTCAGTTGTCATTGGATGCATCTCTGCCTTTAACTCTATAGGACATTCTCCTGCCTTGTCCAAGATTTCTGTTGAATATTGTGTCGGGTTGTATTGGTACTTATCTTCCAAGCTCTAAGATCACAGATGAACTTGAGAATTAGTAAAAATAAAGTGAACATTTATAAGTTTGTGTCTTATTTGCTATGGGTTTTTTTTAATGCTTTGCTGATCTTGCGAACATCAATACTAAATGTAAATATAGTGAAATATATACTTTTCATATGTGTTCACATATAACCAGATAATCACACTGTGTGAAACATTTCGGCATATATTTTATTAACAGAGACATGTTAATATAGTCATCATATAAATGAATTATAGTTGTTTTTAAGGTCAAAATATTCAGTTACTCAATTAAACACTGATGATTATGATAATATTAAGTAACATAAGTGATGTGGCCAGCTAAGAATTCATCTGTAAATTACCAAATGGCTTATTTTGTTTCCTGCATGAAAACATATCATGGCTTTCTCTGAAATAATATTTTAAATGATGCAAAGTTTAGTGAGTTAAAAAGGCATATCACAGATGCCACTTTATATCCTAGGGCTTCAAAATAGTTCTTAGTTGTGAATAAACTGCAAAGTAATTACAATGACACCACTTTTGAACATTACTTTTAAACAAAAAAGAAAAGAAACTTCCATATGTAAAAGTTTTAAAAATAATTAGTAAGACACTCTAATTTACTATTACGAAAGATGAAAATCTGGATTTAGTTAAAATACGTTATAGGAAAATGCTTCAAAATTTGCTGTTGCTCACACTTTTAAAGTTTTGAGGTAACTATACCAGTGTTCATTCTTTTGCCTCAAGACCTACTGTGGCAAGGAGAAAGAATATGTAGATTTTATAACCAACATATCAGAAATGTTAACAAAGAAAATTAAAATCATCTAAAGATATAATGGTAAACAAAAAATTATATGTAGTTCTTATCACTTCTAGATATTGGCAAGCAAATATTTTCAAACACACAATACTATAGTACATTGTGAATATTCTAGTGCATTGTATATAGACTATATCACTATCACTATCACCCCGTTGTTCAATTCTCTCCAGTGGGCCCAGTATTGTCTCCATTCATCCTGCCACGTGCAAATGTAGCCTGATGACATATCGGGGGCTCCTTCAGGGTCAGGGGAACGAGGGCCATTCATTGTTACTGTTTTTGACACATCGAGTACGCCATGGGTAGCTTGTCAGGCTCTGCCGTGCAGGCAGGATACTCTTGGTAGCTTGTAGGGCTCTCCGAGATGAATGGAGGCTTTTGGGGCAGCTTCTAATCACCTTTACAGGTGTTCTAATCAGGCATGTAGGCGGGTATGATACTCTCAGTAGCCTGCTGGGTTCTCTGAGAGTGAGAACTAGAGAGTAAGAGGTCTTCCTTCTGAGAGCTTATATAGACTATAAGGTATTTAAAATTTGTTTAAAATATTTTAAGTGCATATTCTTTTCAGAAATGATATATCACATAATTTATATTTGGTATCCTAATGGCATTAACTTGTCCACTGAAAAATGCTTTTTCTTCTTACATCATTACTGCATCTTGAATAAACCACTTCTTCAGTATCAAGGCTTTTCAATTTTCTTTTTAATGCCACTTATGCAATGCAAATGAGGTTTTCTCTGCTGCATCTGCTGTGATTTTTTTCAGCATTATGTTTATGTTGTATAACATGATTGACTATCTTAAATAATTTTAGAAGAAATGCCAGTATTAAAGTGATGGTTTCCATGACAATAAAAGAATGCTTTGTAGTTAAACAAAGAAAAGCTTCTCAAAGAAAGTCAAGGGCTGACACCTTTTGTAAGAATGAACACAACACACAAGATTAAACTCCTCATTTCACAAAATGATATGGTCCTAATAATAATTAGTGGATTTGTATTCATGTTAGCCACCATGCCTCCCTTTTCTTTCATATGATAAAGTCTGTGGTTGAAAGTGTACTCTCCAATCATATCTATTTTTATTAAGGTGAGAGAACTGTTTTTCTGTTTAAGAAACAAAAAAGCATAAAGCTGACCAGATAGGGTAGATAAGATAATATAAGATAAGATACAGAGTAATATGCTTTTGGAAAGGCCAAGGAATCCAACCACTTGGATAAGAGGGAAGCTGCTTAGTTATGTCTGTGAATTTATCCAGAACTGTTCTGAATGCCTCATGAGCCCAAGGAGATAATTTGTCCTTATAACTTTTCAGTTATTTTAGATGAGTGAATGCTTTTGCTTGCCATATAAGCTATAACCCCAGTGACATAAAGAAGGACCAAACTGCAGAGAAAATTTTCTGAAATGTTTCATGTATAAGGAATGTGCCTACAACTAGTAATCCAGATATGGATGTCACATACTTCAAATTTTTCTGAGGATATAAGAAATCCCCTCCCATTAGTTAGAAAGTAGGAAGATAATCTATGCATATTCAGATTTCATGTCTGCCACTTATAACAGGATGATTGCAGTTTTAATCAGCAATAGAATCTGTCCTTTATAATTTATTCCTCTTTGACAATATTGGAACATTTATTTTACATATTTTACTATGTAAGCACTGGCAAAAGAAGGTAGCACTTAAAAAAGACATAGTCCTTACCATCAAAGAAGTTATAATATATCTTCTTTATGTTTATATTCATATTATAGAGTACAAAATCAATGTATCATAAATATTAACATAAAATATAAATTATATACTATATAGCATAGAAATTTGTAATAAATATATTAAATACTACAAATAGTCAATCAGGTTGTAATTTAATAACATGATTATGGTATAATGACATTACAGCGAGTAGGGCATTTGCCTTGCATGCAGCCAACGTGGTCGACCTGAGCTCGATTCCTCCACCCCTCCCGGAGAGCCCGGGCAAGATACCAAGAGTATCTTGCCTGCACGGCAAAGCCTGGCAAGCTCCCCGTGACGTATTCGATATGCCAAACACAGTAACAAGTGTCACAGTGGAGACGTTACTGGGCCTGCTCGAGCAAATCGATGAACAATGGGAGGACAATGACAGTGACAGTGACATTGAAAATATAATAGTGCTCTACAATTATTTCCTTGTGGCAAATCAGCATACATATTGCTTGTGGGTGGGGCAAATGTAAGCATTTCACATTATAAGAAGAAATTGTGAAGTTAAGATGTTTGCTGTCTAACCCTGGTATTACTAACCGAAAACATGTAAGTTCAGTCTCATACTTACAGCTCCCAAATTTCAGAGGACATGAATGCGCATCCATTGGAAAATCTTCCAAGTGCATTGGACATTCAGCTTGGACTGTAAGCCTAAAAGTCAAAATTCCACTCTTTGTTTAAGCAGATTAGAAAGTGAAGATAAGCCACTCCATATAGTTGCTAATAAAATCAACAAGGATGACATAGGACCTATGCAGCTGCATTTTTTTAGGGTAATTGACATGAATGCATGCTTTTGTTCTTTTACATGTAGATTATTCTCTTGAAGACATTAGCACATATAAAACATGAAGTTAAGTAATTATAGTTACTTCTAAAGAATAATTAATTGTTTTCTTTTGAAGTTTCTTTAGACTATATGCATTTTTAAAGGTATTTATTAAGATCGTATAGAAAAATTGATATTGAGAGTTTTTAAAAATGGCTCATGGTTGCCTCCTTAAAAATTATTTAAACTGCCAGTGAACCAGAAATATGTTTGTATATGTCTAGTTATAAATGTAAAGCAAGAAATAAATACAAATAGAGATGTATATCCTAGCAATATCTTTCTAAAATTAGACTGGAAAAATTACGGAAAAAATTATGAATACTAAGTATTTTTTTCGGTATCTACAAGATCACAAAGGAATAATCAGGGAAACTCATATAATTATTGGTCATTTCATTTCACACAAAAAGTGACAAAATGGGTACTAAATAAAAGGTTTTAAAAATCTCATGATGAATAAAACAAATGTGGACAATAATCTTTATTACATCAAAAAGAGGACTTAGGTAGAAACCAATGTAATCATTTCCCTGAACCTTATCACTGATTCAACCTACAGACATTGCCAGAGGGTAAAATCAACAGGGTCACTACACCTGTGTAGTTAGATTCAAAGTACAGAAGAGCTAACACTTGCACCTTAGGCAAAGATCATTTAGTAATGAGTCCTCAATTTTTTTTTTGAAAGATCAGACTGCTGGTATTTTCCCTCTTGAATAACTTTCACAACAGAAATTCACCAATTAATATATATTATGAAATAATGATATAAAAAAGATGACATGCCTAGCTCTCACTCTATTAACTTAATGGCATCAATGATTTAACTCTTTCCTGTGCATCATTTAGATTTGTGAATGTTTCCTTTAAGTTAAAAATAACTTATTTTAAAATATATTTATGCGCATGATTAAAATGGAATTCTGTTATAGTTCCAATAGTATATTTTTAAACGTTTAATAATGCATTACATGTAATTCATGATAAAAAGCTTCAAAAAGTTAGTTTGCTTTATTTTTCGACTTCTGTTATTAAAAAAATTGCATAATAATATAAAGAAAATTTTAAAAGAAAAATTAAAATCATGATACTAAAACTACTCCCTTAAAAATTTACTGTGAAAATTATGATAACAAAACTAATAAAACTTATTTAATCTTTATCTTTTTAATATTCAAGCATTTGCACAGCACCTTATCGGGTACTTTAATAATATTATGGAAAGACCATACATGACAATTAGGATGATCCTTTTTGACCCACAGATGTCTTAGCATTTAAAGGCATATAACAAACCTAAAAACATACCTCATTGTGTACAGCAGAGTGCCATCATCCTGAATTCTCAGAAGCTTATTTGGCATTGTCATGTTATGAGCAACTGATTTTTTCCCATTGTGAAAGAAGGTATCAGGAGTCCAGATTTTGCTTGCCATTAAGTTATTAAGTCGAAGGATGTTCATTGGGCCTTTAAATTTCAACCGCTCATCTTTCCATTTTTGCCGAAAGAAAACATCTATTGTATATTCCTAAAACACAAAATAGCATTCCGTTGTATATAATAAATGGTTTTAGTTACAACGACACTGTAGCATATCATAAAGTATGATCAAGGGTACTATATTAAGAGAATTAGATTTTGGATCATAAAGATAATGTCTTAGCAAGAAACGTTTCTACATATAACGGGATGAAGTATGGATGCTTATGTCATGAGCTACATACAGTTAGAAAAACTATAGACAATTTCACTTTACTCATACTTTAATAATTGAGCAAATAAAAGCAGCTTTAATTGCATCATATGGTGTAGGACAACCAAGAGAAGAGGCATGGTTGGGGCAGGATCTGGGTGGACTCTTAAGCAGTTTATCTCAATAAAGAATAGGAAAGCAGTCTTCACAGTGGCAGAAATTATAGAGCAGGAAAAAAGTTAAAAGGTAAGAAAAGAAAAAAAAGTAAAATTAAAAATTATCAAATGCACTTTTATCTCGTGATTATCTCCTATTCCCAATGCAACTATAAGAGTCGCATATTACTTTCATAAACCTAAAAAAAGATGCCTTATTGTTAGCAATAATGCATCAAGGATAATATTAATAGTTTTCCCCAATAAATTAGTTGTAAAATATCTGACAGTTTATCAGTTTATTACAATGCTTACATTAGGAATACTTTACAAATAAATTCTCAAGTTAATATGTACTTCATTTTTTTCATTTTAAAATCTTTTAAAGTATTTTGGTTCAAAATTTGTTTTTTAAAGCACAGTCAGTTACAAAGTTATTCATGGTTGGAGTTTTGACACACAATGTTCCATCCTTGATCTGACCATCAGTCTTAACTTCCCTCTACCAGTGTTCCCAGACTCCTAAACCCCCCCAGCCACACTCAGCTCCAGCCTACCATCTTGACAAGTAACTTTTAAGTTTGCTTATTAAAGCTAGGGTCTCATGATTTCAGTGTTGTTGACACTGTGTATTGGATATTTAGCTCTATCATTCTTTACATTACTGATGTACTTGAATCACCTTGACCCTGGCCCCATGGCTTCTCATTTAACTTTTCTTCCCTTGCTGTTCACTCTATTTCTTTATTTCTCCTCCCTCTGCTCTGGGGCCAAGGGTGTTCTAGGCATCCCTCTCATTAAATCATTACATTTCCTCATCCAGTAACTCAAAATACCACATGTAAGTGATATATGTTTTTCATTCTTCTGTCTCACTTTATTTAACAATTTAACATATCTTCCAGTTCCATCGATGCTGCAGCAAATGTACTTTCAAATATTCATCTGTAATGTAATTTCAAATATTCATGTTTCTCTCTTCCTGTTCTCTCTTCTCTTTTCCTATTTTCTCTCTCTCTCTCTCTCTCTCTCTCTCTCTCTCTCTCTCTCTCTGCTCATTCTTGGCTCTGTGCTTAGGGATAAATCCTGACAGTGTTTGGAGAACCATATACAACATGAGGAATTAAATGGGGTCAATAAGCTCTTATACATCTGTACTATCTCTCTAGCCCCCATACCATTTAGATAGGATACACAAACCACAATTGTGATCAATGTTAAGAAGCTATTGAATATTATCTTATTGTGCGTTTGCTCAATTACACACATAGCAACTAAAGTATTCAATTATACTACTGGGATTGGAATAAAAAAATGCAAGCAATGTCCTTTGAGAACAAAGCTATAAAGAATACAAATTTCAAAATGGGAATTTATCAGAAACTGGAAATTTCACTGAACTAAACTGTGTGTTTAAAGGGCAGATCACAAAGATAGTACATATATAAAAATAAAATCATTGCACAAATATTGATCAAGGAAATACTTCTCAAAACTGGAATGGATACAGAATATTAGCACAGACAAAAAGCCTCATCTGATAAGATTTTGTGCAAGTGCATGTTCACTCTCCCATAACCAAGTTGATTATGAATATATACTATTTAGATGTGCTTCCAGAAAGCAATGCATTTTACAGCTTTTTATAAAACTTCAAATTAAATTTTCCCATATCTGTAACACTCTGGCATAGTGTCTACTTTAGAGCCTATTGCTCAAAGGACTTCCAAAATCCCTACCATATATAAGGTACATAATGTTTGTAAACAGTGATTTTCAGGAACACAATTTGCTTCTGAGCATTTAGTGCCCCAGGTGTGTGCTGCTGCAGATCTATGGTACCTGACCTGACATTCAGGTCTTTCTTGGCCCACCCCGCCCCCAAAAAAGGCATTACTTTTATGCTTTAGGCAATTTTATCAATAAAACAAGTTTCCCACCTATCCAGGTCAAGAACTCTACCTATAACACATTTTCAATCCCTGGAACACCTGGAAAATGTGCACTGTAAGCTCTCTGTACCTTCCTACAAAGTTTTTTATTACTAAAATTATATAATGCAATTATAAACACATCCTCTGTCTACCAGTCAAGTTGTATTTCTTCATAAAATGCCTTAGGATGTTACCTGGGTATCATTTTATTTGTCCAGAAATATGAGAATATAAGGAATATTACAAATACCTCCTAATAAACACCAGCAGAAATATCATAAATATTACTGATATTTTTTTCTCTTCTTTCTACCCTTCCTCAAACTTTCCTAAGGAATTAATTTCCTTCAAATATATGTTTGTAATTCCACCCAAGTGTTTTTATCTTTACTACACACACACATACACACAAACACACACACACACACAAACATTCCATTCTGCATAGCACTTTTAGCATTTATATAAATGGTACCAAGTGATTGCTATTTATATACATTTTTAATTACATAATGATTTATTCATGGCAATGTACCTAGTATATTGATAAATTTTCATTGTTGTACAGCATATTTTTGCAAGCATATTTCATAATTTTTATTTTCTTGTTAATTCAATACTTTTCTATTTATGATTGTTATTATTATAAGCAATGATGCCAGAAACATTTATTCTTATACAGTGTTCTTAGTTTGTAGGTGTCAAAATTTAGTCTAGCTAATATCCAAGGACAGTAGAAACAAGGGCCAGGAGGAATGGTCCACGATTGTAAACTTGCCACAAGTGGGTGTGGGGAGAGGGCAGCTAGAATAAAGTGAACAGCTATGACAATGATGCTTGGAAATTATCGCTCTGAAGAACTGAGAGTTGAAAGTAGGTAAAGAGACAAATATGATAACCTTTCAGTACCAATACTGCAAAATATAATGCCAGAGAGAGAGAGAGAGAGAGAGAGAGACTCTCACAGAGGCAGATGTGTGGGGACAGAGAAAGTGGGAACACTGAGGATGTACTCTGGTGAGGGTTGGTGATGAAACATTGTATGATTGAAACCCAATCATAAATGACTTTGTAACTGTGTATCTCATGGTGATTCAATGATTTAAAAAAAAGTTAGTGTAGATGAGAGATCAACAAACTTTATTCAGGATTATTTAATACGCATTTAAATTTTCCCGGACAAGTATCCCAACTCTCATATTACTATGTAAAAGACTCCAAAAACAATACACAAATCGGAGTGGCTGCGTTCCAATAAAATTCTGCTCTCTAGAATATATGACAGATTAAATATTTAAAGAATTATTAGTATGTAGACTTAAAGAGACTTTATTTATTTTAATAAGAAAAAGTAAATACATTTAGTTTATTTAGTATCTCTATCATTTCTAGAATAAATTAACAAGTGGGGTTAATGGACCTTATTATAGAATGCATAACTTCAAAATAACCAGATGCTGCTAAATTAAGATCCTAAATTTCCTCTGTAGGGCATGATCTTTCTTTGCTTACTTTAGTATAAGAAAAATAGCTAATAACCATTATTGGTTTTAAAGGTGCATAATTCTACTGTTTGGATTTCTCAACTGAGTGAAAATTAATACATCTTTTGTCTGTATATAAAATACTCTAGTTTTCTATAAATTGCTAGTTTACTTAGTTTTCTTATTAAACTAAATGAATTATTTATAAGTCCTACATACTAATAATTTCTTAAATACTTATTTCAATAAAATCAAAAATATATTCCAAATACTATTTAATGCATTCTTGTATATTTTTTCTAACTTCAAGTTTAAGTTTGAATTTTAGCATTTAGGCTCTAGAATTTCTGTGAATCATGAGCTAAAGATCAAAGTTGTTTTTTGAATAAGAAAGCAAGTTTCAAGTGCCACAAATGGAATATTTTATTGTTCCCTCCAGGTATGCAATAAAATTTCTCTGATGTATAGCTCTGTTTCTGAAATTTATGTTATTTACTATTGTTTGTCTATTCTTAAGTCCATTGCAAAGCCATGGCTAGTAAAGTTACAAACTAATTGTAATCGATAGCATTTTCATTATTGTTCAGTAAAAGATAATTTTGTAATTTCATTTAATTTTTTTTTGTAAAAAATATTGTCCTCCCGTTGTTCATCAATTTGCTGGAGCGAGCTGGCCCAGTAACGTCTCCATTGTGAGACTTGTTCTTACTGTGTTTGGCATATCGAATACGTCACGGGTAGCATGCCAGGGTTTTGCATGCAGGTGAGATACTCTCAGTAGCTTGCCGGGCTTCCAAGAGGGGCAGAGGAATTGAACCCGACTTGGCCAGGCTGGCAAGGCAAACACCCTACCTCTGTGCTATTGCTCCAGCCCCAAAATATTATGTATTATTGGTTCTATTATTGATTTTATTGGCCTATTTATATATTGCCATTAATATTCAATTTGCTACATTTTAAATAAAGTATTATGTTCTGAAAAAACCATTCTTGGCAATTTGTTGAAAATTTTGAGAATTTTTTTAAAATCCAGCTATCTTCTTTTCAAACTTAATTCAGTTATGTTCATTGTGATTACCAATAATAGATATTTCCTTCTGGTTTACTGTGAAAATTAAAATGAAAGTTTTTAAAAATTCTAGACTTTCATTACAATCAGATGATGAAAAGTTAAAGGACCCGGGAACATTGGAAAAGATGAGTCATAAAATAACACACAAGAGTAGAGGGAGAGAAAAGTATCAACCTAAGAGAAAAGAAAA